TTCGATTTTTTATTTTATCACATCTCTTAGATATACCTATTAGTTTAAATTAACTAATGAAAAAAATTGATAATATTTTAATTTTTATAAAAATAAACTATAGTTTTGTAGGACTAAAAAGTTTATAATGGATTTTTTTATTTAATCTCATATGTTAGAGATATATGATCTAAATCATTTGTAAGAGAGAATTAGTAGAGATAGATCAAATTCAAATTTAATTGAGAAGTGGAGATTATTATTTCTTCTTTAAGGTTGTGTTTTACCTATTTGAAAATTCAAAAACACTTTTATTATATTCAAATTTTCATTTTCGGACACACTTAAAATGATATCAACTAAGACATTACAAGTGAGATTTCTTATATTTTGCACAAAAAACTGTCTGAAAAAAAATGTTAATAATATTACGCTCCTTTTTTTGTTGTTGGTAACATTGGGTGTGCGAATAACAGCATGTTTGTGGGTCGGGTAATACTGAAGTAACATTTTACAATTAAATGGGCCTTTAAAACAAATACCCGACCCACAAAAATATAAGGGTATTCAATACTTAACAACAGAAACGTAATCTGCTGCGTAAACCTAACAGAGAGCACCGGCGGCTAGGGAGAGCACAAGGAGGCAGAGGCAGAGGCAGCTATGGTTCACGTTTCATTTTACAGAAATTGTGAGTTTCCAAAAGCTTGATCATGCATTTATATTCATCTGTTTATTTGATTACTTTGTCATTTTCCGTTGATGAAATTGTTGAATCGGGCATTGTTTAATTCACGTTCATCTTGATTGAACAGATGGGAAAACGTTCAAGAAGCCTCGTCGTCCATACGAGAAGGAGCGATTGGACGCAGAGTTGAAGCTGGTGGGAGAGTACGGGCTTCGGTGCAAGAGAGAGCTGTGGAGGGTTCAGTACGCTCTGAGCCGTATCCGTAACAATGCAAGGAATCTCTTGACACTGGATGAGAAGAATCCTCGCCGGATCTTCGAAGGCGAAGCTCTTTTGCGGAGAATGTTTCGTTACGGACTCCTTGATGAGACTCAGAACAAGCTCGATTATGTCTTGGCTCTCACTGTTGAGAACTTTCTCGAGCGCCGTCTTCAGACACTTGTCTTCAAATCTGGCATGGCTAAGTCCATCCATCATGCTAGGGTTCTTATTAGGCAAAGGCACATCAGGTACTACATTGATTTATAATTTATATTTCACCTTGTTATAAATCATGAATATAATTGTTGCAACTGTTTTTCATTTTCAACTAATTTCTCACTTGTTCAAGATATCCGATAGATTTTGTTTGATCTGTTAAAACTAGTTTACTAAATGTTGTTGCAGCATGATGTAAATAATGCTAGGGTAATTTGAAGTCTATAACAATGTTTAGCTATAGTTTGTTATGTTTTCCATGCTTTTTGTGTGCTGTGCAGTTTCTTTATACTTGTCTTGTGTCTATTTAATTTATTTGTGACAATGCCTTTTAAAAAACTATTATGAAAAGTTTACAAGTATAAATTAAGATACCTCATGACCATTTGGAATTTTTTTAATGTTGTATATCACTCGTCCTGGGTGACTCCTTTTGTTCTTCTCAAGGCCACCAAGGATGCAGAACCTTTTAGAGTCTCCACTAATAATAAGCATAAGAGAAGAGAAGAAAAATTAATAAAAATCTAAGCACATTCAGTCCAGTATTTGTTAAGCTTTCATCATATACTAAATTTCTTTGCACACTTTATAGTTATAGATATTCTTTTCTTTTTTTTATTCAATAAATACTTGAGTCAATGCTAACTATTATGTGTATACAACTAGGAGAACATGCGCTGTTAAAATTACACTTTTACTCAATTTTGATTGCAATTTGCTTGATGTTATTGCTATTATAAAATATTTCATTTTGAAAAATTCTCAATGTGTCAAAGGTACCTGATAGAATTTAGTTGGTCTTCCAATGAGTTTTCTAATCTTGTTGCGTTATTTAGATGATGTTTTGATCATTTGATGTCTAACAATACTGGATTTGATTTATGGTGTATTCATTCTTTGTCTTTTGTGCCTGTTAGATTTTGAACCTCTGATTTTTGAACATCTGTGTTTAGGGTTTGTGATATCCAAAGCTGGTCTATTTGTGTCTTCAATTTTAGTCTTTCTTTCATAAATCCTTATTGTGTGTTGAATCTTTGATGATCTCCAAAACTGTTATATTTATGCATTCAATTTTTGGTCTTTGTTTCCCAATTCTTCATTTTATATGTTGAATTATTTTTTTGTATGTTAATGGGTTCATAATATTTTGTATTTATTCTTATGATTTTTTTTGGAAATGGATGATTATGTCTTTTTACAGGGTTGGGAGGCAAGTGGTCAACATCCCATCATTCATGGTGAGGGTTGATTCACAGAAGCACATTGACTTTTCACTCACCAGTCCTCTTGGTGGTGGTCGTCCTGGTCGCGTGAAGCGAAAGAACCTTAAGGCTGCAGCTAAGAAGGCTTCTGGCGGTGATGGAGATGAGGAGGACGAAGATTAAGTTGTGATTTTCTTTTGCTTAGTTCCTTGCAGCCACCTTTTTAAATCTGTATTAGACTTTTTAGATTATTTGTTATGCATTACTTACAATTTACCTGAGATGTGTTGTTTTTGAAGTTTTCTTTTCCAAGTATTAAGTTTTGCTCCAACAGATTTGATGATCTTTGAGATATAAATGAAGGTTACTTAATGATGTTTCTATTAGAATATTATTGTGTTTTATGTAAAGGTAGAAAATATTTTTGTTTGTTAGTTTATACTGCAGATTGTTGCTTGTTTATAAGAACTCTGATAGAAGTTTGAGAGTATAGTGTAAATTAAATGAGAATATACTTCGATTAAAGGCAGGCATTCAAAAGGAGGATAAAATTTGAAGACGTGATAAAAAAGGTTGTCAGTTTAATTAGTGGCGGATCTTATTGTTTTCCTGTGGCCAGAGGAATGCCAACATTTTGTGGAATAAAACTTTTGCTATTAGATAATTGGTTAATTAAATTATGGTTGCCTGGAGCTTGTGTTGGATGAAGAATTGCAAGTTCTACTACTTCTGACTTCTTGGCTAGAAAATTGAGAAACTTTTATGTAAAAAAGACTTGCCAACTTTTTTCCATATTGACTCATGCCACTGGCTGTGCCATAATGTTCCTTTTTCTTCAAGTAATAGAAAGTATCTTCAATGAAAAATCTTCAAGTAATAGAAAGTATCTTCAATGAAAAATCTTCAAGTAATAGAAAGTATCTTCAATGAAAAAATTAGAAAAAAATACATGGGATCAAGTAGCTCTCAAGCCTTTGTGACACGGAGAATAGAGGAAGAACTAAGAGCAAGGGTATTCCAACCAATTCAAAGACAGATCACAATCTCAGTAGCGAAGACATTTCAAGTGTTATCATCATGGTGAAGGTCACATAAAAACAATTTCAGAGCTTGAAAGAACATAGTAAAAAAGGACCACATGATTCAATAATGAAAATACCACAACCCCAACAATTGACAGGGGAGTGGTGTTGCTTTTTGTTGAAGAAAAGTGCCATATTGCATATTTATGCGTAGGATGGATGATTGAATCAACAACATCTTACTATGTCTCATCCAACATGGAATTATTTTGGATGTACAAAGCAAGAGACCTTGCAATGAAAAGATGGGCAACAATAACATTGGAAATATTGTTCGAATTGATGATTTATGTATTCAAATAAATAGGAGTTGCACACTAACATTGAAGGGTGTGCGGCATGTTTTTGGATCTCCCTCTAAATTTTTCGTCATGACCTTGAAGAAAGGTGTAGTGACTTGGTTCATGAAACCAAAATTCATAAACTCATGGACCTAGCTTTGCTCTGTAATGCACTTCACCATGTCGTGGAGATAACCAACGTCACTGGAAAGTATGATGTCTCTCAGAATGAATACAAAGGTCCATCAAAGAAGGGATCCTAGATAAGGACGCCGAGGATAAGATGAAGATATAGTAACTCCTTCCTGTTGGTGCTAATGCCCATGGTTGAGAAAGAATAAGAGCATTTGCAAGAGAGAGAAAAGAAAAGTTTGTAAATGAATTTATTTTTAAGGTGAACACTCGTAAGTTGAATTTAGTTGGATACTGATATCCACATCCAATCAAATAAGACTATTCTTTGTGATGTTACTTTTTAAATTATTTTATTTTAAAATTAATAGAAGACTCATGCGTCCGCACAATGCCTTCATTTATATTTTAAATAAATTCATTCATATCTTAAGATCATTTGATAATGATTGATCACTTCAAAAAATAAATATTAAGTGATAGTGACCCGTAAAATTAAAATTCAATCTTATTTCATCATTATTATTATTACAAAACTTAACTATGATACTAATGGTATGATTTTATACCATTAATTGTATACAAATATATATATATATATATATATATATATATATATATATATATATATATATATATATATATATATATATATATATATATATATATATATATATATTAAAAATAATATACATATGTGGTTTTTTTATTTTGCCATTGTGTCCTGTGTCATTTAATGAATTATTTCAATCACACTTTCACTATTAGAGTAAATGCAAACAATTAGCATGGTAAAGGCAAAAATAGGCCAAAAAGATCTTTTATGTCATATTATTGAGAAACCAGGTAGACTAATAAACATGAATTAAAAAGGCTTTATTTTATGGATTATTGTAATTTGCATTTTATATCTACGATTACATTTGAATAACTCTGGTAAATCTAGCCTGCTCTAGTTGGCTTCCATTTCACCATTCACAATCACAGGAATTCTCTAACTTGCCTACAACTTGTATAGTTCAATAATTGAACAATCAGGAATTTAATTAGCAATTAGAAGATTCATATGAAACTACAATCTTAACATGCATTACTCAAAATCTCTTTAATACATTTTAATAAAAACTGAAAATTGACAGTATCCTTTATTGTTGGACGTTCATAAGCTTTTATATGGATACATATCGACATAGTTAGAGTTTGTAGAAATCAAAATAGACTTAAAAATCAAAATAAGAATCATGAATGCATATGAGAAAATCAATTCATATGAATTTCTATCAGTCAGACATATTGTGTTTTCTACCACATCTGGGTTTCCTCCCCATTTTTCCAATGCTTGCTTTCTGGTTTCCTTGCCGATTACAGGTGATGAATTTCTATCAGTCAGACATATTGTGTACCTAAATGTATATAAATCATACTATAGGAGAGGGCATAATTAAACTCATTATAATGTCTTCGGTAACAAAAAAGGGAAAATAAAAACTAAAAAAATTGAATGACTCCATTAAACAACTTACCAACATTTTCTTATTCAAAATTGAGTGACTTCACTCATTTGCTTGCCAAATGCCCTTGTTGTTCCTACAGGAAAATGACCGTCTACCTCCTACAACAGCTCCTAACCCCGCAAGATCCAGACATGTTAGTAAGTCAAAGATATGCATAAAGTTTGTAGCTTTCACACATAAAGTTCGAAACCAGAAACAGAACATTTAGAAATCTATGAAGTAAAAGATTTTTTTTTACTTAGGAAAGATTAACAGAAAGCAAGATCCCTTCAAAGTTTTCATCTTTGACATGAAAAGATATACTTGGTGGTACTCAAAAACACGAAAATGGTGAAGAGATATATTTTGTGATAATGCAAAAATGTTCACAGAAATCAGAAAAAATCACAAATTTTTAAATCTGACGAGAGAATAGATATAGTGAGAAAAAAATACCGCGTCGGCAACCGCATGGATGAGATTTCGTTGGGATGGGTGGCAGAAGATTGACGGTGATTCACGGCGGAACTTATGGTGGTGGTGACAGACTCAGATTTGCAGACATAGATATGAGGGAGAAAGAGGATAAAGAAGGTGTTAGGGTTTGTGAAGAAACAAAATAGAAGAGATAGAATAAGGAAATGTGAGAAATCGGGCAACTGAAATTTGAAAAAAAAAAAGGGATGTTGAAGCTTTAGTTGTGTCAAGTGTCGGGTGATTTTGTTAGTTATAACTAGTAACAAACCCTCATTCACATTACATTTATAGATTATTAAATTATTAAGTATGTTACCATGTTTTCAGTTGAGTATATGTCTCATATAAACCATGTTGACATATAACTACATATTTGTATCAAACGTCGGTCCTATCAACAAATCACGTCTGCATGAACAAATAGAAAAATTATATACTTCTTGAAATACATGGAAAATGTACATACTATATATTTTAATTCAAAATAGATTTTTAATTTGAATCGTAAAGTATAAGATATAAAGTTTACCAATTATCAAAGTGCTTGAAAGACTTCCTTGTACACAACATTAGTAGTAGTAGAACACGGTACATTCTCCTTGTCATGAATTATGATTTTTAGCCCACTTTTGCTCTTAACTCTTGAAATTGCAACATATAATTGACCATGACTAAACACAGGAGTAGGCAAATACAATCCAACACTATCAAGAGATTGACCTTGTGACTTATTAATTGTCATTGCATAGGAGACAATAATCAGAAATTGTCTCCTAATCAACTTGAATGGCCAAGGTGAATCAGAAGGTGACATAGACATTCGTGGAATGTAAAAAATGTTACCTATGTTCTTTCCAGACATGATTTTTGCCTCAATGACATGATTTGCAAATCTTGTAACAATTAATCTTGTTCTGTTGCACAACCCATCGGCTTGGTCCAAATTTCTCATTAGCATAATAGGTGTACCAACCTTCAATTTGATCCTATGATTGGGAAGCCCTGACGTTCTTAATTTACTGAGAAATTCAGGAGTTAGAACTTCATATGCTTCAGTATAACTTGAATTTGTTCTATCAATGGAATCAAAACTCAAATACTCTTTCTCTTCTCCTAAAAAAAAGTTTAAAAGCAAAACATAAATAAATTAGTAAAACTATGTTCTTATATATATATATATATATATATATATATATATATATATATATATATATATATATATATATATATATATATATATATATATATATATATATATATATATATATATATATATATATATATATATATATATATATATATATATATATATATATATATATATATATATATATATATTATGAATGTAATAATACAGTAAATATAAAACACATGTACCTGGTATCAAGTCTAATACATAATGATTGATTTTGTCCACAACTTCAATGGTTGAAGCAAGAATAGTCTTTCCTTGTAAGAATTCAACATCTTGATATTTTTCCAACAAATTGGGATATGTGTTTTCAACAATGGCTCTTATAGGATCATTAAAATTTGATATTAATAGCTCTTGAGGAATTTCAATATCAACCAAACCATCATTGGGTTCACAAATCTTACCATCACCCACATTTAAAATCCATTTTGAAAATTCCGCTAGTTCATTAGAACTTGTGTTGTCTCTTCCCTCTTGAAGTCTCATATTTTTTGATAGTGTTAAAACCTGGCAATAATCCCATACATAAGATGAACTAATTGATGCATGAACAATATCAGAACGCCCAGCTCTTGGAACAACAGGAAGAATCTGTCTAAAATCTCCTCCAAATACAACAACTTTTCCACCAAAAATAGTATTCTCAACACCCTTTTTGCTCATTACATCTTTAAGGGTTTTATCCAATGCTTCGAAGCAGTTCTTGTGAGACATAGGTGCGTCATCCCATATTATCACATCCGTTGCTTCAAATAATTGAGAATGTTCGGTGTCTTTGTCGATGTTGCAAGTTGAGTTGTCAAGCGTTGGCACAGGTATTTTGAACTTTGAGTGTGCTGTTCTTCCACCCGGCAATAATAACGAAGCTATCCCACTTGAAGCAACAGTAAGAACAATTTTTTTTTGAGAACGAAGTGCACTTGATAGTGTTCTCCACATGAAAGTTTTACCAGTCCCTCCGTAACCATGCAAGAAAAATACCCCTCCACTCTGTTTGTTAACAACATCTATGATTTTCTCAAATATCAAACGTTGTTCATCTATAAAATACAAACCAAGAATTATAAGTGCAAGGACAATAAAAATCATTTTTGTAATTCATAGTATAAAGAAAATAAATCACCTGTAAGGGCATGAAAAAGTTCTTGGAATTTCTGTTTCTCGGTATCGGCATCGTAATTAAGTTCGTCATAAATAAGCCTATTGCCAACATGTTTTGTGATGTATGAATCTGGATACGGCATACATTTAAATTCATGCAAACTTCTTCGATTCGATTGCATCATGTTCTCAATCTCAATTAGTGTGAGATTCTTTAACTCATTGTCCGATAGCTGCAATTCTGTTAAAATATTTTCATTAGTTTTCTATATAATTACATATGTATGATGCAACTGTTGTCGTGATGTTGAAATACATTGAACATAAATCAAACAGTTGATGTTGCGGTTGCGTGAAATTAAATGGAACCAAAGACACTGTTGCAGCTGCAAGTTAAGAAAATAACTTACATACATGACAAATGACAAATATGAAAATGTTTCTTACGTAAATGGACATACCTTATGAAACATATTAAATAAGGGACATATGGATGAAGAATAATTATATTTTAAAGTAAGTTCATATCATTATATTTTGTAATAAAAAAAGATACAACTTGCATTCGGAAAATAATATTTGTTGACTTAAAAAAGTTTAATAAAGTGTTCATACCTCTTCTATTTGTTTTTTGCCTTTGTTGGTAGAGGATACCATCAGATAACGTCCTCCAAGTTTTTTCCCAAACATGTCGTGGTCTATTGACAGTACCGGATAGTAACATAGTGACAAATAACTTTCGTAAAAAATGCCCGGAACCCCAATTCTTTGCTTCGTCGATGGCTGCAACATATTCCTTGTCATCGTTAAGAAAGCCCATTTCGAAGCATGCATCCCTAAAAGAATCCTGAACTTTTCCACCCACAAATTTTATATCCTCATAGAAAGTTGGACCTTTGACGACTGTTAGCATCATTCTCAAGAAATATAACTCACCCGTACTTGGAGGGACCCAAATAAGTCTGCCAATTGTATTTCCTCTTTTACGCGGTCTCCATCGACGGTATCTTTTATCATAAACAAATTTGGAAAGAAATTGTGAGTACGTCAAATTCTTTGCCTCTGGGTATGCTTTGTTTGCTTCCATCCATGCCGTAAACATAGATTCTTTCACAGTTGGTTTGTCAAGCACCTCATCTATCAATTCATAATCGGTATAATAAACAGAGTTGTCTCCTTCAAGATGAAAGAATAACCTTTCAACTGCGGGTGATCTACCATGAATAGGAAATGAAAAAAGTCTCCAACATGCCTCACTTGGTGAGATATATCTGCAATCAAGATATTGCTTGATTTCGTCAACCATTCTGGCCGAGGGAGATCCATCACCGTCAGTTTGGACAACAGCAGCAGTAATTCTATCATACCCCTTGTTAATATACTTAAATAAGTATTTAACTGAAGTACTTTGATTACACCACTCCATATTGATGTGTGCTTGGAATTTCTTCAACAAATATGGATTGTAAGGAACTACATATTTGTTATCAAGTTGAACGTGTTTTTTCAGCACTGTATTACCAGTTTCTCTTCTTCGGTACACGAGATATCCATCCTGATCAACAATGGTTTCGGTTTGATATTTCTTTGGAAAGTATTTTGAGCACTTTCCATTTTTCATGCAAGTTGAATTCGCATTTGCTAAACCACACGGGCCATGAATCATATGTGTCTTGACCAAATGGTAGAGTTGCATATCATCTTCTTCCGTTGGTATCTCTGCTGAAATGATCTTGTTTATATCATCTGGAGTCGGATACTTGCTTGAAGGATGCAAGAATAATAGTATATGGGCGTGTGGTAAACCCCGCTTTTGGAATTCAATGGTGTATATATCTGAAATTAAGTAAGTTTAAACTTAGTAAAATGATGCATATTACATATTTAATAAGATTAATGTCAAAAAATATAACTCGACTGAAAGGGTATTAAATTGACTTACATGCAATCACTCTCCCTAACACGTGCTTTTTTGTTAGATCACACAACAACTCATCGAACTTAATTTTGAAGACTCTTGAGATGATATCTGGACGGTCTTGAGAATTCAAGTTAATTTTGCTAAGCAACCTTTGGATTTCAGGCCAGTTGGGATTGCAAGTAAATGTGATAAAAAGATCTGGAAATCCAACTTGGCTACAAATTGCCATTCCATCAA